ATTAAAATGTATTTAACCCGGGTTCATCGCCGACTGCCTTCTTGCCTACGAGAATGCCAATGCCGGCTAGTTTGGGCGTTAGGTAGCGATTTTTTACGTCGATGCTAAAACAACTACTCCGCGGACTATGTGCCCTGACTAGCGTTCATCTAGAGTTGTAAACTTATATTTGGGGAGTTTTAAATATTAACATTGAATTGTACCTTTGAGCAAATCTGTATCAAAATGTCTACGATTGTTTTAAACAAGAAACTAATCTCCAGCCTGTTAGGTTTTTGTAACAGCTGTGCATAGACGAGAAATTACATAGAGACTACGCCGGCCAGATTACGATCGCTAATTTTGTAATAAGCATGTGGCCGGCAAAACAGTTTACGAAATTACTGAAATAAATAACGCAAATCGTCGTCGGATAACTTGAACATAATCGGATTTACGTTCCCGAATGGTAGGGTAATTGTGGAAACATGGTACTAATATTATTTGCTAATAACGAATACCATGTCGGTAACGGTGATTCCTCCGTTGCGTTCTCATGGAGTATAATTGTGCGGCACACAATAGGCCATTTAAGGAGAACGCCGATAAATCAGATACGCTTTCTCTTATACATCTATGGATTAATATTAAGTGACACACGAAAAAGAAGGCTAGAAACTGCGGCGAGCAAAAAACCGGGCAGACTTTTACTTGTCTTCTTATGTCAGTACGTCTGTTGCTTTCCTACGAGTTTTTTTTAAGGAACTTTATAAATTCTAGCCCGAGAAAGGTAAAAAATCAGGGATGGTCTTAGAGATTTAACTGATGTAAATTGTAACAAAAATTACACACATCATGTTGGAAGCTAAAGTGATAACATGCTTAAAAAAATCAAAATAAAAAATATTTTTTTCCCTAAAAATAAATTTAACTGGTGCTAGCATTTGTTACAAATGACATCGAGCGGGCGTCAGTTGTAACAAATTGAGGTGTAATTGTAACAAGCTGAAAAAATCTGTCTAATAACATACACTGAATAAATAATAGTGAAAAGAATAAACACAAATTACAACGTAAGAAAAAAGTCCAAAAGTGAAGTAAATTAAGAAGTAGAAAAAAAATTGTCTATAAAATATAGAAATATAGAGCTTATTAGAATCGCTAGTACAAATAAAATAGTAAAAAATCAAGGATGATTTTAGAGAATGAACTGATGTAAATTGAAACAAAAATTACACACAGTACATGTTGGAAGCTAAAGTGTTTGAAATGTCTATCTTCTTCTAATTGTTATAACATGCTTAAAAAATCTAAATTTGATCAAAATAAAAAAACTTTTTTTTTATTACAAAATAAATGTAACTGATGCATTTGTTACAAATGACATAGAGCGACGTCAATTGTAACAAGTCGAGGTGTAATTGTAACAAGCTGAAAACAATATCTCTAATAACACACATTAAATAAGTAATAGTGAAAAGAATAAATGCAAATTACCAACATAGGTAAAAAGTCCAAAAGTGAAGTAAATATACTATTATAAATTAAGAAATATAAAAAAATTGTCTATAAAATATCGAGGTGTAATTGTAACAAGCTGAAAACAATATCTCTAATAACACACATTAAATAAATAATAGTGAAAAGAATAAATGCAAATTACCAACATAGGTAAAAAGTCCTAAAGTGAAGTATATCTACCATTATAAATTAAGAAATATAAAAAAATTGTCTAAAAAATATAGAAATATAGAGTTTATCAAAGTCGCTAGTCCAAATAAAATAGTAAAAAATCAAGGATGGTCTTGGAGAATTAATTGATGTAAATTGTTACAAAAATTTTGTGTTACACTACATGTTGAAGCTAATGTGTTTGAAATATGTATTTTCTTGTAATTGTTATAACATGCTTAACAAATCTAAATTTGATCAAAATAAAAAGATTTTTTCCAAAGAGATAATAAATTTAACCGGTGCTGATACTTGTTACAAATGACATCGACCAGGCGTAAATTGTAACAAATCGAGGTGTAATTGTAACAAGCTGAAAAAATCTGTCTAATAACATACACTGAATAAATAATAGTGAAAAGAATGAACGCAAATTACCAGCATAAGGAAAAAGTCCAAAAGTGAAATAAACCTACTATTATAAATTAAGAAATATAAATAAAAATTGCCTACAAAATAAGTATAAACATTCGTTACAAATATAGTGCTAGTCCAAATAAAATAGTAATACGATTTCCCCATAAAAAACTAGTGTGTGATTTGTAACAAATTTTGATTGTCCATTATATTCCAATAATAATACTGATTGATAATAATTGCTATTTTTTTTACATATGTTACTTCTTTATAACTGACGACTGCCAAGGGGAAACTGACTAAGCTATAACTTTTAAAAAACTCAACTGATGACAGCACAAGCGCGATTGTTACAATTGACGCCCTGTTTCAACATATGCAGGTCACCCCTACCTAATGGGCCGTATTTAATAATCGTATTACGGAGCGTACGATATCCGAGTCAAACAATCATAGGTGGTCTTGTTTTGCAAAAACAACCGGCAATCATAAGTCAGGCATTTTTCCAGCGGGCTGCCGCAGTTTCACTTAAAAATAACCACGAGTTGAGTTGACAATAGTTCGCCTTTTTCTTCGTTTATTTTTATACCGGCACGAAGTTACTCACATGCGTCGCCCCGTCCTTCTCGTGCCCGCCCATTGGAAAAGGACGGCACCGCCGCACTGAATAAGGACCAAGAATAGGCTACAAGGACAGTGTGTTGTATACATGAACGGCTCAGTTCGATTGTAAATAAATTTACTGTAACTTTTTACAGTGGTATAACAAAGTTATAAAGAAGTCCTCCTTTTTTTTTCGCCGGCCTCTCCCGGCACGGCAATTGCGACGAATAATAAGAAAACGAATTTCATTTTGTAACAACCGAGAGACGTCTCCGCACCGGATTCTGCAGTGGCGAGAAAAAAGCTGCAATTAAAAAGGAAAAAGTTCCTTAATCGCCTAAGAAACACAACTACGGTTTAGAATACAAAGTGAATTCTGTACCACACAGGTAGACACAGGTGTTTTAAAAAATGTTGCCTAGCCTCGACAGCGTCTCCCGACAACTGCCTTTTGGGGCCTGATATATGAAAATCAGAAATGTACAATCTGTTGTAACTAAACCAAAAATTTGTGAAAAATGATTAAAAATACAATTTTAAATACAATCATTATAAAAATGTTTTATTTTGTGAAACAAACAGTTCTATAGTTATTTTATTCATTGAGAATTACTCGTTTTTGTTAATAAAATCAAGGAGATACTTTATCAAATCTCTTTTCAGCCCAATTATCATATTTTGTGTTCAAGGTTTGTGCTCCTGTACTTTAAAATTAAAACTTTTGCAATTGCACCAACAAATAAAATAGAACGCATTAACGATTTTAATATCTTTTGATGGATGTTTTTTTTCTTTATCTTATTTAGACTAGTCCGAAGGAAGGTAATTTGTCTGGATACATAATACTGTTTTTTTATCATTAATTAAATTTATATCAGTGTTTCTTTGGAGACAGATCTTCGCAGTCAAGCATAAAACCTCTAATTAATCCGACGGCGGTTTCGGTTGAACAGCGTGACTTAGTGTTTAAAGCTGGGCAGCCTGGATGATTGGATGAAGCTATCAAAAACGTTAACTACGAAATTTTGCTTAGTTCAACAAGAGCGCACGCGTTATATAAGATTGTGACGCAAAAGTGTAACAGTGGCAACGTTTACTTCTTAAGAATATTGTGACGTGACGTAATAAATACACACGATACTGTAGAGGACAATGTAAGGGTTTGTGAGGGAGTAAACGCGGTAAACGTGTGACCAAGAAGTGGTTTGAAACATGGAGAGCGCACAAACAGAGTCGACGTTTGATCACACCTTTCAGTGTCTCTGCCAACTCTCGAGGTAGATCTTCCTCCCCTTTAACGTATTTGGATTTCAGTGAACATTCGAAACATAGGCAAATTTTTTGGGAATCTAGATGGGTCTTCAAAACATCGGTGAAAATTTCGAATTGATGTTTTCGTACATCTGCCCGAGTGGTTTTGGAGCTTTTTCGAGTTTTACGGGCTATTACTGGCTTTGGATTCAGAATAGGAAACAATAGACATATCGCAGGCCATCGACAATGCCGCAAACATAATTCACGAGCAACGACAGCAGCGAACATCTTGTCGCATTTCTTTTTGCACTTATGAGCTTTTACTGGTGTGGATATTAATTTCATTTCTGTCACAATAAAGTAAATCACCCTGAACGGGCAATGTTACTGTGTGACCTCCTTCTCAGGGCTTTAGTTTGCGATGGAACGAGCACAGCTTAATTATTCCTACCGAGCGTAATTTTCATTGTCAATAGAGTGTAAACGATTTGCATAAAAATGTGGTCGACAGCACTTACATAAGATTGCGCCACGCCGGCGTCTTGTGTTCAAGTGCAAGTTCACGAGAAAGTGGAAAAAACGCTCGGCGCTCACTTCTTCCACCGGCAAGTTCACGGTTTGTTTATTTATATTTTTAACGATCGCCGCTCATTTTTACCGGGCGATATCCAATATTTTCCATATTATTATTTCTAAGCGGGGCCGTAATTTAATAAGTAATTTTATTCTATATATAAATCAAGGCTGTCGGGTTTTGCATTTTATGTAGCCGGGGAGTGTTTTGTACATTTTGCTCTAGGTCGCACCGAGATTTAATAAAATCCAAATGCCAACTCAATAAAATCTTGAAATGCGAACGACAACATACAGACAAATTTGATGCGTTAGAATAACGAGTATATACAGGGCGTTTTCGAAGTATGTAAAAAAAATCCGTGGGTTAGGTTAGGCCCCTTTTCGAGCTATAGAATTTACAAAATAAAAAAATTAAATCGACATTTTTAATTCCTAAACCGCATGAGATATTTTTTAATAAATTTGGTGGGTGTATTTGGTACGAAAATAAAATCATATACCTCCTCGTAGTCTAGTTTGGATGTCAGCGTGAAGACTCCCGTTTGGGGGTTCAGGGAGAAGACGTCATTTGCCCAGTCGCTGATGACGTTGTAGGTTAGTTGTGCGTTGATTCCAAGATCTGGATCGGTGGCTTTGATTTGCCCCACTCTCGATCCTCGAGCGGCGTTTTCCGGCACGTCGAACGAATAAGCGCTTTCAAGGAAAACGGGGAGATTGTCGTTCGTGTCCGTCACCTGAAAAAAAAAGAAGTACGTTAACCAGAGTGATGGGAACAAAACAAAGGGCTGTTTATAAAGTAATCACGATAAACTCAATTCAGTATCACGAACTCAATTCCACCATTAGTAGCTTTTTTCTTTTCCATAAGAAACAGCGAGTATTATTCGACAATAAATTTTCATAACCGCTAGACATGTTATCTGGTGTACTACAAGGAAGTATATTAGGGCCGTTACAATCTATTTACACTTTAAATGTTATTAAATCTCCGACATATTATAACTATCATATGTAGACACAGCTTTATTAATCTCTCAGTCCTTCTAAAGTAGTTCATGCTAATATTATGACTAATAATGATATACAGGGTGTTCCAATTAGAACTTCCCACCTGGAAAATATCAGAATTAAAAAGAAACCCTTAGACACGTCGATTTTCTTTTCAAGGGGGGCACGTGATGGCGTAAGTTTTGGTGTCTTAAACTTTAAATAGCACCCTTATGTTGAGTGACACCTCATTAGAAAACTTTTCCAATTTTGGGCATTATCTGACGACATTCTTCAACAATTCGTCGACGAAGCTCCTCAAGTGAGTTCGGTCGGTTGCATAAATTTTCAACATTAAGCGACCGCATAGAAAAAAGTCTAAGGGCGTCAAATCTGGCGGTCTGGGAGGCCACTCAATCGAACCTCTGCCTCCTATCCAGTAATTTGGAAAGTTCTTATTAACCTAAGGTGGAGATCCCAAGGGATGCAAGTTCCTAAAGCTCCTAAAGCTTCCATACACGCACTGTAAGGAGGCCACACACACATAAACTTCAGTGTTTCCCATCTATCAAATTCCTCGACATCTCCGACGAAGTATTTCTGAGCTGGACCGCGACGTCCTTGAGGCCGTCGCTAATTGCGGCCGAGAGCGGATCGGATAGAGTCCCGCCATCGCGGGAAAAAATCTAGGCGGACTGGAAGACTCGTAGCGACGGTCGGGGTAGGAATGTAATTTTTATCATCGGCAGTTAGACAGGTGGAGTACAAGGGGGCAGACGGTGGAATCTGTGGTCCTGGGAGTAATGAAAAGCGGCTCCTTATCGATGCCCCGTCATTTCGCAAAACTTGTCAATTATATATGATAAACTTATATTCGATGCAATCTCGCTTATATTTATATCTCGGAGTCGTAATGAAATTACCGGTCTATTAGTGTTATTCTCGCTGCAGCGTCTCCGGAGCATAATTCGTAATGAGGTAAACAATTAGAGGAGGTATTTATTGTTTACGGCGCGTTAGTTGTGGATGGACGCGATTCTATCCCTAGGAACCCGTTTCTATTTTAGAGTTACTATCGGACTGTTCTTATGCAAGAAGGTCATCGCTAAAGGTTACACTACATATAGGGTGTTTATTAAAGCAATAACAAAAAATTTAAGTGTCTGTCAACTTCTACAGTTAACCACTAACTGTACAGAGCGAGATCGAATAAAATGATATATAAAATTGTGATCTTGTTTTTGGCAAGACCCATCAAAGTCCGGGAGAGGGCGTACCATCTCCTGAACACCCAGTATCTTCTAGAATCTGCCCCTGAATCGCGACACGCAGTGTAAGAGGTTTCGCTTTCATTTGAATAATTATTATTATGTAATTACCTCCGAGAACTAGTTCCCTCACAATTTACTCGTTTTTCTAATTTAGTACGAACCTTTCGAGATTATAATTAATCTATTTATTGAGTCCGAGTCGGCGATTGAGCAATCCGCGTAATTACTCGAAACTTCTAATTTATCTCGTGTCACCTCACCGCAACCCGTTGGGAAATTACCTTTTCAAGGACAAATATAAGTAACTACGTAATAACATAATCGATGACTGTTTCGCAAACTTTCTGCGATCTAGGCAGGTGCTAGAATCAGTGATTGATGCCACAAAATATCCCCTATATTGCGTACGGGATCTCTCCATATGGGATAAAATCTCGAATCGAAAAATAAATCTGACAAGTACGACAACGCAAATGATTTGTCGTTATTGATGGTGCCAATGCACACTTCAGTGTCATTCGCTTGTGCATTGAAATTTTAATATTCCCGAGGACCATATGTGCCCGGTACACCGTAGAAGGAAAGACTGTGTTGCTGTTTGAACCAAATAAAAAAAGGTGATAATAAATGATATCTTTTCAACGGGTACTATTTAATCAACTGCTTTTCTTCACGTAACACTGATCACCCGTATAATGGTGTTCGTGTACCTCTTGGTTATAGAAGATAGAAAAATATTCGTGATCTCGAAAAAATAAATTAATTAATTAATCGTTGGGTACGTTAATTACATATTTTTCAAATTCATAATTTGATTAAAAGTTAAGTTCCTGTTTTAAGATATTCATAATTACTAAAATTCGAGCTAAAATTTAAGCACAACACTATCTTCGTACTACAAAATCGATACATTTTATTTTATATATTTAAAAACTGGAAAACAATTGTCTTGAAATTACTAAATGTTTCACAATAATAGTTGTTTACATTTTTTCCATAGGATAAGTCTGCCGCGAGCACACGTGGTATGCACCAGCTGTGTAGCGTTAAATTAAGCTCTGTTGTCACGTTGTGATGAAACTCCCCAATATTAATACTCGCAGTATTTTGAAAACTGTTAATCTTACGCCCCTGAAAATTGAAAAAGGAAATATTGAGGCAGACTTATACAGCAGCTGTTAGTATAAATGGTGGCCAATACTGGGTTGGCTTTGCCTTAACTACTTGTTCGAAATTTCGCGCTTTTTCCCATTCAATTATACACATCCAAATACTAACAGACCCAGAACAAATCACTCGGGTTCGTCCTAATGAATTCCAAGTATGAAACAGTCAGTCGTAAAGAAATGCGTAAATGTTATTTGGCACCGTAAACCAAAGCTTAATTTGCTCTGGTGTTTAATTTCACGCTTGCTCATCTTTTTGTGGGTTTATGATAATTTCGAAATGCAAGCGAGCTTTAATTGCCGCAGCGAAATTAAAAATTGTTGTACTAGTGAGATAAGATTCAGACGAATTAGCATAATAATTAGGTGTAGGCACGTTCGTATTAATTAGATTCGTAGACTTCATTAGTTATTGGAGAAAGCTACGAAAAAAAATGGTCCACAAACTGGCTCGTTTCAGCTTTTTAATAACGCAAAGCCAGACATTTCTCGGGCGGGTAATGCAGGCCATCGCACCCCGCCAAGATTGATTTGTGTAGTTCCCTCGGAATTCGAAAATTGATCAACAGATGTTAGAAAATAGCTCGGGATTTTTCAGCCGAGCGAAGGGACATTAATAATTGTGGAGAGTATAGCATAATCGACCGGTACCATCAACAATTACAGTTCATTGCACCAAGGCTGTTAGTCTGAAATCTGCCAGATCTGCATCTGTAGTGGCAACTATGATAAAGTGCTAGCTCCGGCCAGTTTCTCTGTGTGCCGGCAACTACGTAATGCTGCTAGGTCAGGTGCTGGCCTTAAATGGTTAATAAACATAATTCCGTACGGTACCTCGCCTCCCTATCTTGACCCAGAGTGGTCGTGATCTGATCTCGAAAACGAACGACGACAATGGGAATAACGTTAATTGTTTAAGAACACAATGGTACGCCTTTAAAGACAAACCTACCTCGAAAATTGTTCAACGTTACGGTTACTGTCGTAATATGAGTTACAAATGAATTTCGAAATTTCACACATGTTTCCAATAGAATTCGATAACGCTTCAAAAAGCCGCCTTCGAGGCACAAATTCACGCATGTTTTGGATTTTTGGAAAATAAACAAACTCTGAATTTTACGAAATCTAAACTGCAACAAGACCATAGGGTCGACACTAACCACAATAAGTTTCAGCTGCATAACTCCTCCACTTCTACAGTGAAATTGGCGTTTTTTACGAAGACAATTTTTTCAATCTCCACGCGGACATCACTGCAGGTCCCTAGCGGAGCTAGCCTGGAGTACGTTCGGATGTCGACCCGAGTAACGTGCATCAGAACCTCGCCACAACCTTGCCAATTGGAAGAACAATTGCATTTTCCATAACCAAAAACCGAAATAAATTTATTCTAACTGTCTAAATCTACGGTGAATATTCTAAGACAGTGTGAAAGAATACCTACATTGAGTAGGTATTTCTTTCATGTAAATACGACTTAACTTCAGTACCATAGAAGATTTTTTTTACCTGTTTTAGTTTTTTCTCGTGTCTTGGACACCGTGAGAAAACCTTGAGAAGGATACTTAAACTGCAAGAAATCTGCACAGTGTTAATGTTGTGTTTTTTGTTATGCCATTATTTCGAAGGTGGTGGCTAATGGTGCGTTTGATTAAATACCAATGAACATTGATCGGCGCCTGAAGAACTGACTCGTCAATATTTGTGCGTTTTTTTCCATGAAAACTAGCTCTTTTTTTCTGATCTGGTGGTATCGCGTTATTCTCGTGCAAATTTATAAGGCGCAGGACGAAATGGTACTTTGAAGGGTGGTAAATTCGACGTAACCACCCGTCCTAAAACTGCACACGGCCGTGGTAATGCGCCGTATACGCCTTCAGGTTGAGCGGGGCCCCAAACGAGTTCCGCATTTCTTCAAAATGTCTTATCAATCTCCGTTGTTGTTTTTACCATTTTAATTAAATATCTACCTGACTTTGATGTAACGGCGATTAGGCCGGGCAAGGGCGAGACTCTAAATAATATTTATTAATAATGATATGCCTTACAGTTGCCGCTGCTTCTTCGTTCCACCGACGTTCGCGCATTTCGCATGTTTATCGTATACTTTACGCTGAACGTATTTACGAATTTATTAATTACAGCGAAACTAATCGGTTTTATTGCGAGCAGACGCATTGGTTTCCAATATTTCCTGTTGATCTTTCAAAACTATAAATAAGAGAAACCTAGAAAAGCTGGATTTACCAGGGAAATTTATAAATATAATTCTTAATAACTTGATTAAATAATATTTATTGGTTTTGTAGTTCACACAATTAAAGTCCATAGTAGTCCAGTTACTGAAGCATTTTGGCTACCAATTTTTTCCGATGGAATGGATTGACGTGAAATTTGAACTGTAGCTAGGGAATAGCTCAAGAAACAAAAGTTATAAAGTGCCGATGTGTGCTTTTACCCTAGGGGTGGATGCCACCCCTTCTGGAGGGTGGGGATTTTTTTTATTAAAAATAACCTCACGATTCGATAGAGCAAGGGTCGGCATGTAATTTTAGGTGGGGTCCGGATACTTTTGAAAATTTTTAACGAGGTCCAAAAAAAATTCATATTTCTTATTTTTTTATTTTAATTTGGAAATTTAATCTACTTACTAATTAATAACTCAAAACACTCACATAATTGTAAAATACTAGAAAAAATGATAAGATTGGCACTTAAACGTAAAAAACATTTTTTAAATAATTTGAGTAATTTATACTTTCAAAAAATTTTTGGCGGTCCAGTATTTTACCTTCCGCGGTCCGGACCTGGACCGCGGTCCGCCAGTTGCCGACCCTTGTACAGGCAATACTTTTGTGAGTTATTTGCGCCTAAACATGTTCGTTTTTAGCCCAAAAATGCCATTTTTCGTGAATATCTCAAAATCTACAAGTTTTATCAAAAAAATGATCATAAGCAAAAATGAAGATAATTAAATAGCAAAGAGATTGCTTTTTTATTTTTGTAGATGGTATAGAACTCGAGTTTTTTTTTTATTTGATATAAATTTAATAAAAAAATATTAATAATAAATTCAATAAAATTAAATTAATTATATCATCATACTCATATATAATTTTTAGGAAATTTTTTCTATGAGGGGTAGGTCTTCCATAAGGGTTTTTTTGGGTAGCTGAAAAGTTGCAACATATCATAGATCGTTTGAAAACCAATAAAAAGTCTATAATTCAACATATGCATACCATTAAAACATCTCGAGCTTTCAATAATATTTTATTTTATTATAAGGGATGGTTTTTAAGGGTTGCAACTTTGTAATGAGTCGTAACCTTTTTAATGAATAACAAAAGAAATGCAATACGTTGTGAATGCACCAAAAGAATATTTTAAACTGTTAAAACTATTTTTTTCTATTTTTTTGGCCATGGAAGATTAGTTTTTAAGGATTTTTAAGGGTTGAAAAGTAATTAAATTTCATAAATTATATTAAAACACATGAAAGGAACTTTATCCAACATATTTGAACATGAATCGAATCTTTAAAATACGTAAATCTGTGCGATTTTCGCATTTTTTTCGTACAAGGGTAGTATTCATCCCCAAATAGAAAAATGGACTATAGGCCTTTTTAAAGACAAGAAAAAAATTTGAAATTTTTTTTCGTTGACTTTCTTAAGATTACACTTGAAAACCACTGACGAAAAATTTAAACTCCAGATCCGAAAATTAGAAACATGAAGCTTTAACTCCCTTTTTTTAATTCTCTCTACGACCATTTGCCCCCAAGTTACAGCTCTTTGAAATTCACCCAAAAATTTGTGATTTTTTTTAATATCCCTATATTTTTGTGACTAGTGTATTATGCATATAAAATTTCCAAATGCCATTACGTTAACCTTTTTCTTGCTTACCTCCACTGTGACGATGGTGTCGGTGTACTGATGCCCATCACTACACCTAACCGTCAATTTGAAGACGTCCTTCGCCTCCCTGTCCAAGGAATCGACCAGCCGCAGCACGCCACTGGTTTTATCCAAGGAGAAGTGACCGTAGTCGCCCCTGATGAGGGTATACTCCAGTTCGCCTATGGTATCGGGGTCGTCCGCTCTTATCGTGGCGATAGATTGCCCTGGACCCAGGTCTTCCGACACCGAGTAGTGCAGGGGGATGTCTTTGAAGGACGGCGGACTGTCGTTCTTGTCCAGGACGGTGATTTGAACCTGAAAGGGAAAAGCACAATTAGAACAAAGTGAAATTACTAGAGATATAATAACGATAATACACCGCCCATTCCTCCACACAAGTCTAAATCCTTGTGGATTAAAAATGTATTAAAAATGGAACGGGTTTAATCATACACTGTACTCGGTAACATTTCTCATTCAGTGTTTCTCACGGACGTAGAACGTCTCTTAATAACAACCTGCTCCTGTATCAATCCCGACGCGTTTTTTGCCTCAACGCCGTGGAAGGGAATTTATTGCGATGTGACAAACCACTCGAGGGGTTAACAGAGATATAATTGTCTAATTACAGCTTATCTAGCGCATACGAGAAATGTTATGTAACTCATCTATAAATCAATTCCATCAATTAGTTCCGTGCTATAGATTGCAATCGAATTAAAATGAGTATATACGACAAGAAAATCAGGTATTTATCAAAGATGTAATCGGGCAGATTGTTAATATGCGCTCGGTAAACACGGTGCGAGGGGTAATTTGAGCACTGCTTTGAAAATTAACACATCGATACACGTGTTTCTCTACCGAGTGATAGTATTGGATTTCTTAATTCGCAGAAAATATACACGTCTATTGTATCTAGCCAGGCGATTAATAAAATCGCCTGAAACAGCAGCAAGTCTTGAGCAGTACCTCTAATTCGAAATTTGCCCATGTTTTGAAAAGAATTCCTTTAATAAATTTCCATACAAAGCGTAGTTCCTACCAAAACATTGGAATTCATAAACAAATCACCATCTACTACGTAGATTGGAAGATGCGAGGCGGGAAAATATATTTTCCCAGTTGCCAACAGTGAGGGAAGGTCACAAAAATCTCCACCCCTCTCTGGAATTTTGGCAAAATTTAAAGTCCAAAAAATTCTAAACTCAAAATCCAAAACGGCGTTAGGATCACCATTATAGTCCAGTTACTCAGGGTTTTTACCTCCGAATTCTTTATAACTGAACCGATTGACGTGAAATTTTGACTGAATGTGAGGAATGCCTCAAGGAACAAAACTTATATAGCGCCGAAGTGTGCTTCTGCCCTGGGGGTGGTTCCTACCCCTTCTTGGGGGTGGAACTTTTTACGCCCAAAATAACCACAGAAATCGATAGAGGAGCCAATTTTAAGTAACGAATGTGATATAAAGTTTTTTGGAAAATCCAATACTTTCCGAGTAATTCGTCATTGAAAATGTTGATTTTTTACTGAAAAAGTGCTTGTTTCGGACAGTTTTTTGCTAATAACTCTGAAACCATTGGATTTAACGAAAAAGTTCACGCAGCCCTTACAATTCCCTGCAAAATGAGCCTTTGTGCGATTAAAAATCTTAAAAAGTAAGAAAGTTATCGTCAAAAAATGTGTATAGGCGATAATTTTAGGAAAATAAATATAAATATATAAATAAATGTAAGGTGTAATTTTTAAGGGTTGAAAAGTTGCAATCAATTCAAAATTATTTTATAAGAAGGGAATAAATGTTTATTTAATACGAATGCATTTAAAATGTTTCTACTCTTTCAATAATATTTTTTCATTTTATTTTCGAAAGAAGGGGTATTTTTCAAGGGTTGAAAAGTTACAATCGATAAAAATGATTTTTTAATCAAGAAATCAATTTTAATTTGATAAAAATGCATGATTAAAACGTTTCAGGTTGAAAAAAAAAATTATATTATTTTCATCCAAAGGGGTGGTTTTTAAAGGTTTTTCCGGGTTGAAAATTTGGGACACATTAAGTTTCATGTTAGATAGCACATGAAATTACTCATATTGCATAAATAAAAAGGATTTGATTACATAAAATGCTTAAATTTGTATTTTCTCTTTTTTTTCCAATAAGGGGTGGTTTTCACCCCTTAAGAACAAAAAGCACACCTAGCGCATATATAAGTTTTGAAGTGGGGGGTAAGATGAGCCTAATTTTAAATTTTGAGAAAAATCGATGCAGTTATAAAAAATTCGGACGTATTATTATATTTTCAGCTACAGTAACTGGGCTATTAACTAAAATCAGAATCATAACTATTTAGAGAAGGCCACAATCTACAGAAGGATGGTTTCCCAAATTCCAAATATTCCAAATCTGACGCCGACCTCACTACAGAACCCTCTGCGGGGCCAACGTCAAGGGTGATCGATCGTCAACCCGGGCACCATGCAGTTCAATAACAGTTTCAATTTGTATTGTACATATTGTATTTTGACATAAGTTCTCCAGTTTTTTTCATCTATCTGGAAACAAATTAAAAATTAATTTATTTAAATATCAATGCAGTTAAGATATCTTTCATCATATAATCTAATTCTCAGTACTAGTAACAAACGCAGAACTGTACTTCGATGTAGATTAATTTTTTCTTCCGCCAAACAGAACAGCAAAAAATACAACTCCTTCACGTCATTAGGGACAGTGAAATGACAAATTTGAAAGCCTTCTTTGTTCTATCTCTGAAACGCCCTATAATGCGATTCATTGAACAATATAAGACTGCTATTATTTTAAATAGTTCTGTGAACCCTTGATTGGCTCCTAAGAAACAATTACTTTGTATAAAGGCACTAGACAGATCGATTTTTAACCATAAGTGTCGAGAATTCCACTCCACATGTCATCACACCCAAACGGTTAAACAGTATTCTCGGAATATTCACGAGGCATTGTTTTAATTTTTTTGCTAATTACGATCATTTGCAAAACAAATCGACATATTTTCCAAACTAGTCATTGTTCCCCTCCGCTTTCCCACGCCGTTGAATTTTAAGCAGATACCGATATCGTCGGGGAATACGAAATTTATCAAAATCCTAGCTGTAGCCTCACTCTACGTGGTAAGATTTATGTGACAGTTGTAGCGATGCTGGTAATTGTTTGTAAAAGGGAATAATGTAGGTAAAACAAACTACCAAACAATTCAGTCCTGTGAGTCACGAGCCTTATTATGTTCATAAGGCCGTTAAGCTGTAAGACGGATAGATATTTTATTGAAATGGGGCGTAGGTGTCATTATGAGCTAGAAGATGCGACTTTCTAGTTGGAGTCGGTAGTAATTCACACTTGTGTTCGTCAATGATCTGATCATTATTATTATAACCGGTCGCTAAAGCTTTTAATAAGGAAATCTATGCGAAGCAAATTGTTTGAAATTAAACAATTTTTTAACGATTTCTTAAATAAGATACTGATCTTAGGTCAGGCATATAACACAAGATCCAGGTATGATTTCGAAATTTCAGGCCTTGAAGCATTGTTGAATTAATGAATCTGTACTAGTAAATCGAGGTCTTGGTATTTGAGCTAATATAGGCCAGTCGCAGCACGTTGCTTTTTAAATAGAAATAAAAGTTAGTACAGTTTAGGTCTGTAATTGATTTACCCTTGAACAAAGCGTTTAGAGATTCATAAGTCCATCAAAACTCGAAGTTTGTCTTTGCAACAATGTTTTTACAAGCACCCACGTCGCCACAGAATTTATAGGTTCCTGTAAACCTTGCCTAAATTTTACTTTCGATAATGTGACTTAAAAAAGTACTTACTTAAAAGAGACTTTTTACATTTTATTTTTAACCCTGCAAATTCTCACAATTTTTGGGACGACTAGTATTATACAGCGTCAAAAAAATTTTTTTTTAATTACATCTAAAACCCCTTTTCAACCACTTCACTGAGGTTTAAGGACTGTTAGTTGATAGTGCCATTTGTGCAATGTTGGTTACCTATTGTTCTCAAAAGATTGATTTAAAATATCAATGCCCGACAGCGATTATACTGATGCAGATGGGTTTTAAAATATTTTGAACAAAATCATTCTTGCCACACACAATTTCCGCACGACTGGTCTATTACCGTCAGCGCACATTTTTGTAAACAAGTTTCAGTTATGCAAACGCTGGCGCTGCCATTACAGAATTTATGGAGGAGGTCGTAAATATTTAGATACAAAATATTAATACTTTAGCAACGATTAAAGTCGAATTTTAAGTTTGTAATAAAAGCCTACCACACTTTTATTACCCGAAAAGGCGAGGGGCCGTGTACCACGGCGAGCGGTGATTCAGGAAGTGTTATCTGGACTTACGTTTCGAGGGACTCGTAACTTTTTAATTGGTTATCAATAAATTAATCACTAAGTCCGTCGACAGAGAGAACGGGCTTAAGGCGAAGTGCTTTTATAAGCTACGCTGATTTTAAACACCTTACATCCGTTAAGTATCTCAAAGTTAAAAATTATTTACGCTAATAGGCAACCAGCAATACATTTTTATAGATTTTATTGCACATTTTGTATAAATATGAATTAATGCACAAATAACAGACTTCCCTCCATTCTAACGCAGATTTTCTATAAGATGGAGTTAGTTTGAAACTCAAATCACTTTTTGGTGTAAAGAAATTTGTAATTTGCCGCTTTTGAACATCATAAATTACAAATTTCTTTCCACCAAAGAGTAATTTGGGTTTCAAACAAAGTTCATTTAATAGAAAATCTTCGTAAAAATGGGGGAAAGTCTGTTGTTTGTGCATTAATTCATATTTAGACAAACTGTGTAATAAAATCTATAAAAATGTATTGCTGGTTGCCTATTTGCTAGACAGTCCTCTTAATCTAGATTTTGAGATATTGTTGTTCAAAGTTGATCATTTTAACTTAGGTTTATATGGCGAAGATGGACGGTGCGGCTCTTATTTTGCCCATAACTGAGAAAAAAACGTAGAAATTGTGAAACAAAACTTTTCCATAGATAGTACACAGTATTATCTTATTTTTGATGAAAAACTAATGTAAGTTTTGAACATAGTACAGCTGTATTAATTAGAAACAGAAACCTATAATTGCATTTCTGTCTGACTTGAGGATTAATGTGGCAACGTTGCAATCAGCTGAGGAGCAATGAGCGAATACATTTGAAAGACTTGATAAAAACGAAATTGATTTCAAATATATATCTACAAAAAATTATCCACAACACAAAAAGACGAGGAAGCTGTG